AATTGCAAGATTTTAGATGTTTTACCCAAACAATACCATTTATTTAAATCAAGTTGATTATTCTTGGGTAAAGAGAAGCGAACGGTTGATGAGTTAACAGCATATTTTGCTCTCATGAAAGAGAAAAGTCATGAGAAAGGCGATATAAGTGAATTAGTGGCATCAGTAATGTCAAAATTCAAAAAACAAAAGCAATATAAAAAAGGAAAATTCAGAAGAAAATCAAGAAAAGGAAGAATACAGAAACTTCCTCTTATAGAGATGCTATAGGAGCTTTAAAAATATCTTTACGTATTAGCACAGATTTAGCTTGCCATGTTGACATTCTTTCATAATCTGTCAAAAGACGACTGGATCGAAGTGAAACGTGTATTAAAATACATAACACATACTTGTCAACCTATGACACTCAAAAATCAGGAGATTTTTCACAATGTTAAAAAAAGACTTTTAAATGATAAAAATATAGTTTTTAATAATGAATTAACTTTAAATAGTAACCAATTCCTTAATGCAAGCAACACAAAAATACCTTAGACATAAAAAACATTTTTATTACTTGCATTGTTTATGAAACAAAACAAAACAAAACAAAAAAAAAAAAAAAAAAAAAAAAAAAAAAAAAAAACTTTATCAGTTTTCTGTACAAATGTATAAAGAGTGCAGATTTTGCTTTCTTTAAGAAAGAAACCTCATAATTTTGTTCATAGCAATTACCACGTAGGCTTGCTTTCGCTAATAAAAGTTTTTCTAATGTCTCATCACTAATATTAGATCTAAATTTAGTCCTCAGTTTCACAACACTGAAAACCCTCTCACACTCTGCATTACTATGGGGAACTGTCAAGATGGCCAACATAATTCTAGACAGTTCACTATATTTTAAAATTCCATCAGCACCTTTCAGTTTTCCAATTAAACTCCACTGGTGTCAATCCTAGTTGATTTTATACTTCATCCAATTTCTAATTGTAAACTACTATTATGCGCTGTTACAACTGTTCAATTTTTTCAATTTTTCCTTCTTTTAGAACTCCTTTCAAGAAATATAAATATCAACAATGTCCACATTTATGGTAAAGAAGCTGCCCCATTTTCAGCTGATAAATTTAGAGTGAACAAGTGCACCTCATAATCTGCAAATCTGAATTTTCCTTTCTTAAGATGCCTGCAATACCAGCCTTCAATATACCAATCTGGGGATTATCAGCACAGAGTGCTAAGCAATTATCCAGAGGGGCTGCATTTTCTTTTAAAGTTTTAATAATTACCTGTGCTATATTAAAGCCTGTCAAATGTCCTTCTAAAGTGGGGTCAGAAAGTAAACCGCCCTCAATTTCTGAAGACTGGATTAAAAAAAGAAACAATTGGATACAGTTTTGAATCGGTATTATTGCTTCCATCCGCAGAGAGGCAGAATGAAGCTGTTTTAATGCAATCAATAACTGAAGATTTATTTTTCAACCCATTTCTTTAACAATTGCACCTGTTTTGATTCTTGCACTTGAGTATTTCTCAGCGATTTCATTATCAGGAAACATTGTTCTAAATTAAGCTGCAGCGTGATCTGATGCATTCAGTGGCAGGTTGTGTTTCAGTAAAAAGGCAGAGAACAGACCGACATTCTTTATTAATACTTTTTTTGGTCCTTTGTTTCCAAAGAAAAATTTAATTTTTCGTTTTTTTCAAACAACTCATGTTGTCCTTGTTTTTTTGAGAACATCGCCCTTCCACCATGCGAAATCGAAAAATCGCAACAACAGGCGTTACACATTGCAAATTTATTACATTTCCTTGAGGAAATAATGGAAGGAAAGTAAACTGTGTACAATTTTTGAAACGTACAAGAGTATTTCACCTTTCTCGCAGACATAACATAATTTCTAAAACTATTTCTTGAAGGCACGTGTACTCACACAACTCAGGACAAAATGAATGCAATAACTAAAGAACATCCAAATAACAGCTTGCTTTGTCCTCATTGGCTAATATATGCCAGATGACAAGCAGTGGAGCTCGATGCCTACTGGAGAACTGAAGAACGACGTTTCTGGATACATTTACGCTCTCACTCATAAAGTAGAAGTTATCTGATTCGCAAGGTTTTGTTTCAGATATAATCTAGAGAAAATTCAATTGCTTTCAGACGTCCAAAATCACTTTTTTTGTTTTGTTCACATAACAATGTATTAAGCCAAGTTCCATAAAAATCGTGAGAAATTTTAAGAATAAGAAAAAGTCGGGAGAAATATATTGTAAATCAGGTTGGCAGGAGAGGCTAAATTGGGAGTTGGCAACTTTGATGGCAGGTTCAATTACCAAAGGGTTTTACATATAAAAATAAATATAAACCAAGAGTACTGGAGTGCTATAGCAGGGTTCGTAGCCACATTTTAGTTAAAAATATAAGCACCTATAAGCACTTTTCAAGCACATTTTAAAGAAAAAATAAGCACCTGTCTAATTACATTATATACAACTGCATAACCTTAAAAGAAAAATTACTTTTAATTTAAAATATGAGCAATGCAATATTTATTAAGAGAATGAGTATTGGAATTTCAGTTCAAAATATAGAAAATAAATAATAATAAGCCATATTAATTGTACTCGTTTGGCACCTAATAATAAATACAAATTATTTTTCCACTCATATTGATATTTAAATAATTTAAATCTAAATTCTGAACATTTTCTAAATTTTCATTGTATATCAGTTTTCCCTTAACATATATTCCAAGCAAAGTAATTTAAGTGAAAAAGAGGCACATTTCTGAAACCAGAAGACGGGAAAATTGCCTCATGCAGCCATCCTTTAACAGTAAAAGCTTAACTAACTCGCATACTCGGAAATTGCCGAATATTCTGTATAGTCGATCGTAACTGGAAAAGAGGAGGGGGGAGATTGTAGCCGTTCTTTAGATTTCTCGCTAAATAAATATTTTGACGTTTCGATATGTATCATCATATAAAATAGACCAACGGAACTGAGAAATATTCTGCTTAGAAAGAACAGTAAAAAACTTTTTTAAGTGTTCATAAATAAATCTCAGACTGAACATCAAAATTAATTATCTCTGCAAAATACCGCGAACGTTCTTGCGCAAATCGTACGGCGTTATTCTTCCACATGTGATATTACGCGATCGGAATCAACAGCTGCCAGTATTCGGGGAATAAAGAACTAAATAAAAGAAAAGAAAGAGACTTACTAATCTGGGGTGTTTCTGATTCTAATTTTCAACCGACTGCATTAAATTTCCGGAATAGAATCAATCTTCGCTTGGGTTGGGTAGACCGCAAAAACATTTCATCCTATTCAATCCAGATTGGACAGTGGGTGGGAAAAAAAAAAAAAAAAAAAAAAAAAAAAAAAAAAAAAAAGAGCCCGCTGCTTCAATAATTAAGAGATTTTGCGGAGAGAGGGGAGAACCTCCCAACCTCTGTACTGTATAATATATTGGCCAAAAAAATAAATTATTTTGACTATTCGATTACTTTCACTTTATTTATGCCGTTCCGAATATTATTCCTTAGAAAACTAATCTGTGTTAAAATACACTTACCCATTTTTGAAGTTTTTCTATACTTCAGCAGTTACTTGGAAATATGTTATTATAAATATTCATACATATACTCATAATATACGCATACTGATCATAACAAACGCGGATATGAACTGACCACGAGGAACGAGAATGTAAATTATTGAAATCTTGATAGAAATTCAAACATGTGTAGTATTTGGGAGGGAGCAAAAGAATACCGGAATACATCGGAATTTTCTACTACTTTTTCCGCAATTCTTTGACCAATAGAACGATGTGCGCCTGTCTGTACTCTCGCGCGCACCAAAGGTTATGTTAATGCAGAAAAAGGGGCGAAAACCTATTTCTGGGAGCAGTGATTCACCATCTGACGTTCCATATGAGGAAGAAAAGTTGTTTATTTAGTTTTCGGCTTTTGGTACAGGGAAAAAATGCGTGATCGTTAAAAACACTAAAAAAAATAAGCACTAAAAGCAAAAAATAAGGGCTTTTTAAAGAAAAATAAGCACCTATAAGGGCCTTTATATTTTATTTTCAAATATAAGGACTTATAAGTACTTGTAAGGACCGCTACGAACCCTGTATAGTGATGCAGTTATGGAGGATGTCAAGAAACAGAGACATCTACAAATGAAGTAGTGATATTATATAGTAGTAGAGTTATATTATGGATTAACCAAGGACAGTCAATTGTTGCATCTTTGATAACTGAAGCAGAGATAATTGCAGCTAGTGAATGTTCTAGAGAAGTAATTTGGTTAGAGCGATTATTTAGTGATGTTATAGTAATATAATGCTCCAGTAATTCAAGTAGATAACGCCGCTGCAGCGAGACTGCCACAAAGTCCCGAGCTTCATCAAAGTACAAAACATATCGATATCAAGCATTGTTTCATATGAGAGAAAGTTCTAGCAAAGCAAATCATTGTGTAGCAGATACCTGCAGGGAAGCAAATCGCTGACATAATGAAAGATGGAACTCTTGTGACTTTCTCTTATAGTTGTTTATTTTTGTTCTTTTTTTTTTTAACCGACAAGGGGAAATATTAGAGTATGTAAAAAAAAGAAAGCCAATAATAATAATGTATAATTTAGTTAATAAGTTCTGACAACAGCAAGTATTGTTGTTATTAAAAGATTGTATTTTGTGATATTGTTCAAAAAGATTTATAGTTCAACTTTAGTTAGTATTTCTAATTCAAACTTCCTATTTTTTGCTCTTGTTTTCTGTATCAGTTTTAGAAACACTGTTATTAAAACTGTGTCATGTAATCTGAAGAATTTTGATGTGCACAGTTTCCAGAGTTCGGCATATTCTGAAACTTTGAAGATTTCTAAAAAAGTGGTTGCAATAATACATAAATACCAAAAAATATAGTTTAATTATTAAGTTTGGAAAAAAAAAATCCAGAAATCTAAACTAGAAAATCTCAATGAAACTTCAATACTAACCTTTTTGCACGAATTTAAAACAGCCTGTTCTAGTGTAACAAAGCTATCCTCAGCTTCTGATTGGCTTTTCAATATGGCAGATATTATTTTATCACTCTACAAAAATAAAACATTATTAAAAACAATAATAAATACAATCTTCAAATGAACACCAATTATATAACAGTCTCCAAAATTTAAATAAATGAATAGAGGAAGTAATTAGACACATATTTCATTATAAGAATATGAAATTTGATGTTTCTTCTAGCTTTCTTTCTTAAAATAAATTATTTTTTCATTTGTTGAAAAGTTTGTTGCCATGACCCGCTTTAAGCAAGAACAGAAATTGTCTTTGGACTTCTGCTACTGGTCATGTGAGAATGTACTGATAGTTAATGCTGTGTCGCAGAAATAAATTGTACTCCTATGCCGACTTACTTATAAGAAATATAATTTTAAAGATGTAATAAAAGATTAATATGTGTACTACACTGATTACTAAGCCTTTAAGTATAATTTTATGACTACGCACTAATGTATGATCGGCACTAGAGATAAATTTATTTTTGCAATGCCGCATTATGCACTGGAGCGTGGCATTTAAAAATGAATAAGTATCAATATGCATTATTTTTTGTACGAAACTACAGCACAAACAAATATACAAATATTACAAATGAATTAAGATAGTTACAATGATATTATTGCAAACTATATATTTTAGAATTTTATTTGTGTATGATCTTTGCACGAAATGAAACTTTGTTTTTATTCCAAACCACATGCTCTTACAACTAGTTTATAACCTTCCCTCCACACCAATACCAGCAGAATAAATAAGATAGTTACAATGATATTATTGCAAACTATATATTTCAGAATTTTATTTGTGTATGATCTTTGCATGAAATGAAACTTTGTTTTCATTCCAAACCACATGCACTTACAACTAGTTTATAACCTTCCCTCCACACCAATACCAGCATACATATTCAAAACATAATGCCAACTGAATAAATAATGAGATGCTTTTCCCATGCCAGCAAGTGACTGGCACCTGAGACATCATCCCACACTACGCGTCAGAGCGTGATTGTCTCTTCAGAAATAATGGCAATCACACGCTGGCACGTGATCAGTAGCAAATGTGCTAAGGGGACCAATAAGTACTTCTGTAGCATCTAAAATGTGTACTTTACTGTACTATCAAAATTTAAAATGCTCAAATTTCAATATACACAGAATCAACAAAAGTTTCTATTAAGCTCATGACACAGCGCTACTGGAGTGCCAAAGAGTTCTCACGTTGTAGAGTTGCGGATTCCGAACGATACCTGAACAGTCCTGTTAAGTCACCCGGGTGTCTGGATCCGCTCTCACCTGTACTATCAAAGCGTACTTTTCCAATCTTTGGGTTTATAAAATTAGAAAAAATAATAATAATGGTGCTTTCTGATAATCTGTACCCCCCCCTCATTAAAAAGCCACGAAAAAATATTCATGAAGCGAAGCAGAATATTCCCAAAATAATTATGTGGTAACCCACAATGTCACCAAAATTATTTATGGTAGCTCAGATATATGTATACCACATGTGTGTTTTGGCCAGTGCACAACACAGAAGTTGTACGATGATGACTTTGTGCAATTCTCTGATATTTTTAAGTGAAAAGAGGTCGCTGTGCAAATGGGAAGAACAACAGTACAAAAAAAAAGTATTTTTCAGGAAAACTAAAGTGTTTTATTACCAATGTTTCTTGACTGATTGATGGCTCTTGCATAGAACTTTTATTGCACCACCATTTTGCAAATGGCTGTTGCTTTTAATGCATGAGCTTGGCAAAAAAATTAATCGGTAGTGAATTTATGAATGCTCCCTAAAGTCACAAACAAGTTTGCAACTTTTCAGTAGGGTGTGGATAATTAGAAAGTGCCAAAAAATGTTCAAAGAATTTTTGGAGTTTTCTTCTAGCCTCCCCAGGTTCCAATTCCAGGCAGATAGCCTTTATGTGCTTTGACTTAACTTACTTTTCAAAGGGGGAAGACACTGGTCCAAAATATATAAGCTTATATTTTATAGAGAACATAATAGGCTGAATCGTGAAAATAAAACATTACAAAAAATTTTTTATCAACATTAAATTGAAAAATATTAGATTATTTTATGAATTTAACTAGTATTAGCGAGACCTGCTCCACTGAAGGGAGGAAATCAGAAAAGAAGGCTTTCATGATGGATTTTGCTCAGTGCAATCAGTTCTGATTATCTGTCCTGGTTTACTGAGAAATCTACAAAAGTATTCTATAAAATTCCTGGACATTAATTTAATTTCCTTTTCTGAATAAGCAAGGCAAGAACATAAACATGAGGTGTGAATTAGTTGTTAAATGCTTAAGCAAAGAAGATTCAACATTATTAACTGAAGCAGAATGTCTGAAAGTTTTATTTGCAGAGATGAGAAAGCTGAATTGTTGATATTATGAAAGAAAATCAGTAAGTCACAAAAGGTAATTGCAAAATGACATAAAATTGCTAAATTGCTTTCTTAATGCTAAAAGCGAGGATCATGACAAAGTGATGACTGGATGGGTCAGACAGCATCGCAGCGTAGACGTGTCATTGACGGGTCGGTCCAATGCTAATAGTTCAAGTGAAAATATTTCATGAAGAAACAAACTTAAAAACTGAGTACACATATTCGACAGGTTGGTTAACCAAATTAAAAAATTGCCATGGTATAAGGCAATTAAAAATTTCAGGCGAAAAGCGTCGGCTGATATTGAAGCTGCTGAAATATTTCCAGATAAATTCATTGAGCTCAATAATAGTGAAAATTTATCTCTAGAACAAATTTACAACACTGATGGAACTGGACTTTTCTAGCAATACGTACTGCGAAATACCTTGGCAACCTGTACAGAAAAGGCTCCAAGTGGCATCAAAGATTCCAAAGCGAGACCAACAATTTTAGCAGGCGCAAATGCTGCAAAATGCACATGTGTAAACTTTCCAAAATAAAAAAAAATACACGATCTCAAGCATTTAAAGTAAGATTTTCCCCATTATATATCATGCAAATAAAAGAGCATGGATGACACAAGTGTTAATAAATGATTAGTTTGAAAATCATTTCATACCCAAAGCTCGGCAACATTTGAATTCGCTTGTTTTACCTGATGACACAAAAATTTTACTGATTGCAGACAACTGTACGGCTCACACTTCCCTTCAAGTTTTAGTAAAGATAATGTATTAGTATTATTCTTTCCCCTAAATTGTACGTCCATTATTCAAGCCTATGGATATCAGAATAGTGCTAACAGTGAAATGCAATATAAAGTAGCATTTTAAAGTCCATGTTAAATTTCTTGAATAATGGCAAACTATTCAAGAATTTTTGAAATATTTTAACATAAAATCTGCTGTGTGGAGTATCGCAAGATCATAGGAGGATGCGTCTCCAGAGATATTTTAAAAAAAGCCTGGCATAATGTATGGTCAGTTACCACATTTCATGGTGAGGATGATGAAGATGACAGCTGCGAATTTGAATGTTTTTGGATATCGCAAAACAAACGTGAAATTTTCAAATTTATTGATTTTGTAAAGAAATGTGGAGAAGCAGTAATAAATGAAGATATATCAGAATTTTTTCATTGCTATGACAATGTCTCAATCATCAATCAGTTAACAGACGGTTCTATATTCAGAACATACTGCTACCTATAACGAAGAAAGCGACAGAGAGGTTATTGAAAAAGTTTTGATTGATAAGTTAATCGGAATTCTTGACACAGCCATTACAGGACTTGAGAAATGGAACTTTGCAATTGAACAAGAATTTAGATCTGCCTACAGTATTAAAGATAAAGTATTAGCACAAAAATATGAAGCAACTTAAACAACTTACATTGAAAGAAATGTTTAATAAAGTAAACAAATGAGTATTAAGCTTTTTTTGTAAATTTTGATACCCATTAGATCATAAATGATCCATTATTTCATAAATCATGATTTCATATTTTTAATTTTATAATTTCTACATGCCATTTTACTAGATTTAAACTGATGATCTAATATCCGTAAAAATCTCAAATCCAGAATTGCTTAAAGTCCTGACAGCTCTGAATCTTAGACTTTGCACTGAATAAGTTAACTGCTTTTTTCTGTTGCATTCCTTGAAAAATTATTAAAACTGGAGACCTGTGTCTTCCACCAAAGCAATGTACTGGTTTATACCAGTTCCCATACTCAATACATTGAGAAACCCTGGAATACTGCAAAATGGTGGAAAAAAATTTTTGGTGTTTACATGTTGACAAACAAAAAGACAAAATTTGTCAAAAAATTTTAGCAATTGCCAACTTTGGTACCATAATACATATTAACCACTGTTACAATTATATGACATTGCTAAGTTTTAAGAACAGTCTTTTTGCAGAATTTATAGTTCAATCATGAGTCTGGGAGATCTATAAAGCAATAAAGATTATGCCAACAGTTTCTTACAAGAGTATAATATATTGCAAGAAACCATCAGTGTTATAATTTGCAGAAAATGAAATTTTATTTGAGTTAATGAAAAAGCACATGGCAATGCTGCAACAGCAAGAGAGCATATGAATCGGGCTTAACCTTTTGAAGACGAGATGGACATTATAGTGGCCACAGAGTCCTCTGTTTGATAGGACGGGATTGTCCACTTTAGTGGCCATGTTCCTCCCCCCTTTCCAGACCATGGAGGTAGGAAGTAAGATGGAGTTGCCCTAAACAAGTTTCTCCCGTACCCTGCTCTGAAGCACCGGCGATCCCTACGTGGTGACCATAACATTGGGTCATTTACCATCGCGTTCAATGGGATTTGACGCGTTTGGATGTAAATATTTTGTAATTACGTCGTAAATATACATATAAATGTATACATTTTCTATTTCAGCGCTATTGGCAAACAAGGAGTTTAATGGCCTGACGGCCAATGTAACTGGCATTTCACAAATACAAAATAAATGTACACATTTTCTTTTTCTACAATATTTTAGAGTCTTAAGTATATGAAAAGAATACATTTTTAAACAACAATGGAACTAAATGCTATACTTTTCACAGAACAGTT